CTGCAGATGCCATGCTCCTATACTCTGCTTCAGCTGTACTTCTTGATACTGTTTCTTGCTTCTTTGATTTCCACGATATCAAAGTTCTTCCCAGCTTCATACAATAACCTGTCACTGATTTTCTTGTCACTGCACACGATGCCCAATCAGAATCACAGAAAGTTGTAAGTGTATTATCCTTTTCACTGCTCAACAGGATGCCTAAGCCTGGTCTTCCTTTGAGATACCTCACCACATGAAGTGTTGCCTCTAGGTGAGACTGCTTTGGGTCATGCATGAATTGACTCAAGGTTTGCACTGCATATGAAATATCTGGCCTGGTCATTGCTAGATACAGTAGTTTTCCTACCAGTTTTTGATAAGCATTTTTATCCACCAATTGTGGATCATCTTCTGCCCTTTTCAACTGTCTGTCATACTCAGATGTAGTGAACTTCATGTGTTGTTCCAGTGGTGTTATAGCAGGTTTTGCTCCTGCTAAACCCCATTCTGAAATCAATTCTAGTATATACTTTCTCTGTGTCATCAATATCCCCTTGCTAGACCTCAAGAACTCTATTCCCAAGAAGTACCTTAGCTCACCTAGGTCCTTGATTTTAAAGGTTTGTTGTAGACTTGCCTGTGAATCCTTGATCAGTGTCAAATCATTTTCGGTGATCAGTAAATCATCCACATATATGAGTATCATCACAAACTTCTCGTTCACTCTTTTAGTAAACAAAGAATAATCATGTTTACTTTGATGGAAACCAGAATCAATCAATGCAGTAGTAAGCTTTATATTCCACTGCCTAGATGCTTGTTTAAGTCCATATAAAGACTTCTTTAACCTGCATACCTGTGATGACTCCCCCTTACTGCCAAAACCCTGAGGCAGTACCATAAAAACCTCCTCATGCAGATCACCTTGAAGAAAGGCATTAAAGACATCCATTTGAAACACAGGCCAATCATGCATTGCAGCCAAAGCAAGAACACATCTAACTGTGACCATCTTTGCAACAGGAGAGAAGGTATCATGAAAGTCCACACCTTCCTTTTGAGTATAACCCTTTGCCACCAGTCGAGCCTTAAACCTTTCTACAGAGCCATCAGCAAGGTATTTGATTTTATACACCCACTTACAGCCTATTGGAAGTTTTCCAGCTGGTAGATCAACTACTTCCCAAGTTTTGTTTTCCTCAAGGGCATCAATTTCTTGTTTCATAGCCTGGACCCATCTGTCATCTAAGATGGCTTCAGAGTAGGAGTGAGGTTCAGTGGTTGTAGAAAATTTTGAAAGATAAACTTGATAACTAGGAGAAAGATGAGAATAGTTGACAACATGATTGATAGAATGAGAGTGTGATTTGTGATGTGGATGCGATTGAACATAATCAGACAACCAGATAGGAGGTTTGGTAGCTCTAGAGGTTTTCCTGGTGGGCACAAGTGATTGAGCAGGAAGTGGAACTGGAGATAAAGAAGAAGATGGAGGAGATGTGTTGGAAGGAGCAGGAGGAGTAGAAGGAGATGTTGATTGAATGTCAGTAGGAACAGGAGCATGATCTGAACTGGAATTGATCGCAGAGGGAAAAAATGTTGGACTATCTGAATCAAAGAGATAAGATGGAAGTACATTAGATATAGAGGGTGAGGAAGCATCAGGACTAGAGATAGAAGAACTCTTAAAAGGGAAGAGATACTCTCTGAAATGAACATCTCGGCTAACAAAGAAAACATGAGTTTGAAGGTTATAGAGTATGTAACCTTTCTGAATAGGAGAGTATCCCATGAAAACAGCAGGTATTGCTCTTGGGGAAAATTTGTCATGGGGATTAGGATCAGTGGCATAGCATAGACAACCTAGTGTCCTCATATGGCTTAAAGAAGGAGGAAGTTTGTGTAGTTTTTCATAAGGTGAAAGACCATGAAGTACAGTGGAGGGTAGTCTATTAATGATATAGGTTGCTGTAAGTATACAATCACCCCAAAACTTTAGAGGAATGTGTCCTTGAAATCTTAAAGCTCTGGCGACTTCCAAAAGGTGTCTATGCTTTCTTTCAGCCACCCCATTTTGTTGTGGGGTGTAGACACATGTTCGTTGATGTACAATGCCAAGGGATTGAAACAAAGATGTGCATTGAGAGTTTATGAATTCAAGACCATTATCAGATCTGATAGTCTTAATGGTGGTGTTAAATTGAGTTTGAATGAGTTGAATGAATGCTTTTAAGTGGATCAAATAGTCACTCTTGAATCTTAATAAAAACACCCAAGTCATTCGACTGAAATCATCTACAAGAGTAAGAAAGTATTTATTTCCATTGTATGTGGTGTGCTTATAAGGACCCCATACATCCATGTGCACCAATTGAAAAGAATGACTAGAAACTGCATTATGAATGGGAAAAGGTATTCTAGTTTGTTTGGCAATAGGACAAACAGGACAATTACAAATTTGAGATTTATCTAGTGTATGCTTAATAGAAGATATCTGGCTGAGGATAGGAACTGGAGCATGACCAAGCCTTTGATGCCATATAGAACTCTTGATAGAGGCAGATGGAGTGGAAAAACAAACAGAAGCATTTTGCAGATTTGATGTTGTGGCAGATAATGGTGAATTGGTTGAGAGAATGTATAGTCCATCTTTGACTTTACCAATCCCCTTCACCTTGCCAGTGTAAAGGTCCTGGAAAAGAAAAAAATCAGGGTAAAAAGAAGCAAAACATTGTAAATCTTTAGTGAGTTTAGAGACTGATAGTAAGTTGTATTGGAACATAGGTATGTGGAGGACATCTGTAAGTAACTGATCTTTGGCTAATTGACAAGTTCCTTTATGAGTAATCTGAGCCATAGCACCATTTGGTAAGTGAACTTGATTTTGAGGAGAAGATGGAAGTATAGAACTAGATGACATTAAGTCCAAGGATGAAATCATATGGTTTGAAGCCCCTGTGTCAACAATCCAAGAGTTAGTTTTAAAACCAGCCAAAAAACAATTAATTGTACCTGCCATGTTAGCCACATTCTCAGGGGAATCTTGCTTATCAATCAAATTAAGAAGTTTCTGAAACTGTTCTGTTGTGAATCCTAAACCTTGTTGTTGCTCAAACCCACCAAAGTGACTCAGATTAGCATTATGCGCCATGTATCCACCAGACCTGTGACCATTTGTACCTCTATATCCACTTGAGTTTCCAGAATCTCTATATCCACTTGAGTTTCCAGAATCTCTATATCCACTTGAGTTTCCAGAATTGTAGTGTTGTTGTTCTCCTCTGAAATTATTTGTATCTCTCTCCCTATTCTTAGTGAACTTAAAATCAGGAGGATAACCAATCAATTTATAGCATTTCTCTCTAGTATGACCCTTAAGATGACAAAAGTCACACTTTTGCAGCCTTCTAGTATTGTTGTGCCTGATAGAGTTCATAGCAGTTGATCCTGATCCTGAGCATTCACCCTCTTCATAGTGGGATGCCATTACTGATTTTCCTTTGGAGTAAGGATTAGATTTCATGGCAGTAGCAGCTAACGCAGAGGATTCACCTTCCTCATAGTGTGGTCTGAGATGAGAAGTCTGTGCAGCTGCACTCAAATGTGCTCTTTGACTCTCTTCATGAATAATAAGGGAATAAGCTTGGTTTACAGAAGGTATGCTAGGCATCATCAATATTTGGCTTCTTGATTGATTATAGGTTTCATTCAAACCACCTAGAAACTGCATAAGCTTTTGTTGTTCCAGATTGGAGATGAAATCTCGTGACTTATCACATGAACACGAAGGAGGTGCTACTAGAGATTCATACTCTTCCCAAAGTTCTCTCAACTTGGAAAAATAGATTGAAATAGAAGATGTACCTTGAGTAAGTGTTGCAATTCCTCGATGAACATGATAAATCTTCGTGGCATTCACTTTATCAAATCGCTCCTGAAGATCTGCCCAAACTTTATGAGCATTCGAAGAATACACTATTCCATTTACGAGATCCTTCGAGACTGCACTGATGATCCAGGATAGCACTACTGCATTCACTCGTTCCCATTGTTGTGCCATTAGACCTTCATACATATCCTTCCTGCAAGTTCCATCCACGAAGCCAATTTTATTCTTCCCTAACAGGGCAATACGCATTGATTTACTCCAGATAGTGTAATTTTCCATTCCTGTGAGTATGCAGTGAGCTAAATTTACACCAGGAATATCAGAATTTTGTAAAAACAGTGGGTCGAAGGAATCAAACATAGATCTAGGATTAGCAGCAAGGCCAGATCCATGAACATTACCTCCAGTAGCTTCCGATGATTCTCCTTCAATCGCCATTGCTGGAAAAAAATAAAAAACCGAAACTACAAACGGGAGAGAAAACAGCGAAGATATTGAATTAGCTCAATACTAGATTATGATCGCCATTACAGGCTCTGATACCATGTTAAAACTAGACATTGAGATGAACGTGATGAAGAGAAAGCAGAGAGAAAATTAATGGAGAAGAAACTGAATTCTCATTGCTTCAAAAACTAACTGCTATACAAGGCTGTATCTCTATATATATACACATCTAACCGACTCAATGCTAAAATATCTACTTCTAACTAACTATATGAAATTACCAATTAACCCCTAAGTTAGTTATAATTTGTTATGCCAGCTGTCTTCCTTAGCTGGTAGCCTGATGTTCTCAACACTATAGTTAGATAAGACCAAAAAGTTACTCAATTATTGTCATTTCACCTGTAAATTTAAAGAATGACAAAGCTGACCGTTTTAGGGGAGAAATAATACGGTTCTGATGGTGCCTATATTAGATGTTGATGAAAGCACGTTGCTTGGATTGTCCAAAAATGTTTCAAATTTCAGTTCTCACTGTGAAAACAAAATCACTACATTTTTTCAAATACTCACATGCCAAATTATTGCCTCTTTATATATACTTTTGTTGATGTAATTTCTTTGGCGACACCTCAACAAAAATTCACCTTTTGAGTTGGAAGAGAACAAATGATCCAATACACACTGCAAATCAGGATACTATTTCTTCTTTAATACATCTTTTCTTTAAAGAAATAACAGTAATATATTATTGCCTTAAAAGCCTACAAAATGGTCCAAAAACTGATTATTTCTTCTTCTGATTCCTTTGCCTTCGCTGCTTCTTTCTCCTTCCCATCATCATTTTGTGCTCCAGCTCTACAATGATTCTTGCAAGCCACATTGGTTTTGCAGTTGAAATCATGAAATATAATATGGATAATCCAATACATAGTCCACTTCCATAGCCCATCAGAGCACCTTTCCAAAAATCACTCAGAAATTCAGAATTCCTTTCTTCATCATCTAGTCTAGACACGGTATCATTTGTATCTAATATCTGAGCATAGCCACAACTTTTTGAAATAGGTAATCCACGTAATCCATCATTGCCTTTATATGAATTGCTCATAAAGGTCTGAAGTTGAGTTCCTTGAGGAATGCACCCTTCCAGATGATTGTAGGAAAGATTGAAGACTTCAAGCGATGTAAGAGAAGCAAATTGTGCTGGTATCTCTCCTACAAGATGGTTATTTGACAGGTCCAATGATTCAACCGAAGATAAACTTCCAAGTGATGGCGGTATGTGACCTTGCAATCCATTATGAGATAAATTCATCATGCAAAGTGCAATCAGATCTCCCATAATACTTGGAATATGTCCTTCAAATTTGTTGTTTGAAAGATCGATAGTGGTGTACAAAAAAAGGATTTTCACAACTTCAAGCTCCAATCCCTTTGTTACGACAGCTACCGTGTCTTGGTAATGTCCATATCTTGGTGCTTCTATTAATGGATCAATTGTCCTCATGGCTTTCAAATGTTGAAACAAACTTGTTGGTAAGTTTTCCGTGAAGGCATTGGAAGAGATATCCAACATTCGAAGCTGAAGAAACATGTTTTCACTTCCTAAAGTTCTAATGGGTCCATGCAACTTATTCGATCTCAAGCTTAAAACTCTCAACTTAGGAAGAGTTCCCAACCACATCGGGAAGACGTCGTTGAGGTCATTAGCTCCTAAATCAAGAACTAGCAACTCTTTGCAATTGGCCAAAGTTTGGGGAATTTTCCCCTTTAGTTTATTGCCATGCAAGTTGAAGCTTCCAAGTGTTCCAGTTCTAAAAGTCATTGGAAGAGTACCAGAAAGACTGTTGTGCTGCATATCAACAACCTGAAGATGACCACTCATGTTGCCAAAACATTGTGGAATTGCTCCCTTTAGATTGTTTCTACCCAAATCTAGAATTTTTAGAGATGTCAAATTGCAAATAGACGAAGGGAGCTCTCCACTGAGATTATTATGTGACATTATCACATACTCGAGAGCACTGATATTACCCAAACATTGCAGAATTTTTCCTTTCAAGTTGTTTTTCGCCAAATACAGGAATGTCAATGTTGTCAAATTGCAAATAGACGAAGGAATTTCCTCATTCAGATTGTTGTCACTGAGAGACAGAACTTGCAAGTTTCTCAAATTGCCAAAGGAAGACGGAATTGAACCAGTGAGTTGATTATTGGATAATTCCAGATCATTGAGGTTTTTCAGATTCCCCAGCTCACTAGGAATTAGGCCAGAGAGTTGATTTAAATTAAGGTGCAGAAGTTTGAGCTCAGTTAAGTCACCTATAGTTTTTGGAATTACACCAGAAAGATTGTTTGTGTGTAAGCTTACATTCTGAAGTGACTTCATCTTCCCGATTTTTGTAGGAATGGGACCATACAATTCATTAAAGAAAGCATAGAACACTTTTGCATTGGTCAAATTGCCTATTTCTGGAGGGATATGACCTGTTAATTGGTTTCTATCAAGATGAACTTCAATAAGATTGACAAGTTTTCCTATTTCTGCAGGAATAGAGCCAGAAAGGTTATTCTCATAAAGATACAAATAGGACAAGTCGTTCAAATTCCCCAATGAAGCAGGAATAGAACCATTAAGAAAATTGATATTTAAAGCTAGCTCAGTAAGAGACCTTAGATAACCTATTTCTTTAGGAATGGAACCATTTAAAAGATTGTCAAAGATGTGGAGGATCTCAAGTTTGGCTAGTGATCCGATTTGTGGTGGGATTGTGCCTGAAATCTGATTGATGGACAAGTCAAGATAGACAAGATTAGTGAGAGTATCAATCTCAGGTGGAATGGTTCCGAAGAGATTGTTCATGCTAAGATCAACATATTCAAGAAAAGGGAGGGATGAAAATGGAAAATCATAGAGGGTACCAATGACACTAGAATTTGTAATATTCAACCTGTTTACTCTACCATTAAAGCATATAACTCCGTACCAGTCCCAGCATGCGTTAGAACTTGATCTCCATGAAGACAATAAGGCATTATTCTGGTTCTTGAAAGTTGATTTCCATTTCAGGAGGGAAGTTGTTTCGTCAGTTGAAGCCAAAGTAACTGTAAAAAGATATAAAAGAGTGAAAAACTGAAGTAGAGAGGATATGTTGTTGGGAAGCATGTTTATTGTTTTGTAATTCAATGAAAATGTGGAGGGTTCATAGAACTTTATATTGTATGTAATTTATCATTGAAGAACAAAAGGGAAATTTGTTTTCTCCAAATGTTGCAAATTCTTGGCTGCTCTCACTCATTCACACTATGTCTTGGGTTCATATTTTATCAAAGAAAATGTTGTCATTCTCAAGTCAAATTTGGGTTGTTATATTTTTGTCTTTTTTTAAATGGGAAAATGCATAAGTACCCCCAGCCTATGCCCAAAATCCCTGAGACACACCTAACATTTACTAAGGTCCTATTACCCCCGAACTTATTATATATATAATTTTCTACCCCTTTTGGGCCTACGTGGCACTATCTTGTGGGCCCAGTGTGTGTTGACAATTTTTTCAAGGATAGTGCCACGTAGGCCGAAAAGTGGTAGAAAATTAATTAAAAAATAAGTTGGGGGGGTAATAGGACCTTAGTAAAGGTTAGGTGTGTCTCATGGATTTTGGGCATAGGCTGGGGGGTACTTATGCATTTTCCCTTTTTTAATTGTTATCCATGTGTTACACATCTATATGTATTTTACAAGTAAACAAACCATCACAATAAAATAAATTCCATCCAAAAGAAACAAGCTTAAAAAGAGGTAGAGAGTCATTAACTCATACGCTTCAAATCTTAGCTCCGCCTTTGATTGAAGGCAGTGGGCGGAGCTAGAATTTTCGTTAAGGGTGTTCATACTTTAGGACAAGTAAAAAAATAAACCTTGTTGGTCAGATTTAATAAAAAAATGGAACTGAACGTCACTTCTGTTCTCTTTTTTAACTTAAAAAACGGAACTAAAAAAATTAAATAAAATGCCTTAGTCTGGGCTCAAACCCAAGCCTCCAAGGCAAATTTGAACAGTCTTAACCACTGGACTATCTTTACTTACCATGTCAAGTGTGTTCCACAATTAGTATATGTCCAAAAATATCAATATTTAACATATATACTCATGAAAATTTTCCGATAAAGGTTGTTCATCTGACCACCCTTGGCTAGGTGTAGCTCCGATTTTACAGTACAAAAATATGTCTAGTTGACTAGTTCTGTAGTCTTGAGAGGCTTCCTAACAAAGTTTTCTTTTGCCTTGTGGGTTCTTATCTTACTTTGTTACATGGACTCCAATCACGAAAGAGAAAGGAAAGCAGAAGATGAGAGCAGGAACCTGATAGATAGGCTGCAATTCAAGACTTCCTATTTCTTCTCTCATTCAGTTCAGATTTGTATGCCAAATCTGGAACATGTTAACACATGCACGGTCCACGCCTTGTCAATCTGCATCTGTCTCGTGCATCGAAGATCAATCCATGGATCATAATTAAGACTTACCATCCTCAAAAAGAGCAGCTTTTCTTTGTTGAACTGTCTGATCGTCATGACGATGAACACACATTGAGAGAGATTCACATTCCCTTTACAACATCCATAGGCAAATTTCGAGTAGTAGACTCATGTAACGGTTTGCTATGTCTATTTGGTGTCATACGTCTACCGAAACAGAATGGTTTTTACAAGCTGAATAATTCACCTGCATACAGTCCTGGTCTGGAGAAGGCTTTAGTTTTTGTTTGCAATGAACTATATGATGATACAAATATCATCTAGCACTAGCAGTTCATACATGATCACTCTTTCTGAGTCTATGCTAATTAGAACAAGTTATTTCCTTTCTACTGATAAACATCCTTCACTACTATTATTCATATGATATCTTGTAAATCATCCTTGTCATATAAATAGTGCAAGTTTCATTTGTCGGAGAAAGAAAAGAGATAAATGGCTGCTATTTGGAGTACAACTTAAATTCTCCAGGTAAATATTCTATTTGCTGGACAACATTTTGTACATACATAAACTGTACTCTATTCTTCTGTAATTGCATTTTCATCTCTATCTACTTTACTTTTTAGTTTCAAGCATTCATATAACATGTTTTGAGTCTACTATTTGTATCAAAGTAGAGAGTTCTTTTTATAGCTTTCCTTTTCAGATCAGTTCTATTATGATAATGATGCACCTTACTAGTACCATTACTATATTTGCAAGTGAGGAACCACATTATTACTCCCCGAGCATTTTATCATCTACCATGATCAAATCCAAACCATTTCTAGGGTACCTTATAAGACGAGTTCATTCCCGCTTCCTTTTGCTCTTCTGGCACAAAAGATGAAGAATCCGAGATAATGGCTGTTGCTTGTCAAAGGGTCTTCATTTGCACAGTGAATTTTGTCTGTCACTATCACTTTGTAAAAACAAATGAAAGAAAACAAACAAGAAGAAACTCTCTACTTTTTTTCTCCAAATTAATCACAGAGAATATAGTAGAACTATACAAAAAAAAAAGTGCAGGCCACTTCATGACAAATTGTCATTTCTCAAGGCCTAAGCATATAAATTGAGGAATATTCTAAGCAAGTCGTGTGTAACCAATGATGGGAACATGAAATTTAAAATACCATTTCAACATCAGTCGTCGTGTCTGTTTGTGATGGTTAAAGGGGATATGCAAAGGTTTTCTACCTAAAAATTTGCTCTTCATTTCTATTCTTCTTACTTCCTCTGGCAATTTTTTCTGTGCCTTCTCAGTTCTGAATTTACTTCGTTCCATGGAGTCCAATCATGCAAAGGAAGAGAAACTGGAAGAAGAGACGAGAAATCTGATAGCTCGTCTGCCAGAGGAAATAACACTTGACATAGTTTCAAGGCTTCCTATTTCGTCTCTCATTCAGTTCAGGTTTGTATGCCAAACCTGGAACATGTTGACCCGTGATTCCCGCCTTGTTGATATGCATCTATCTCGTGCATCGAAGATTAACCCATGCCTCATCTTTAAGACTTACCATCCTCAAAAAGAGCAGCTTTTCTTTGTTGAACTGTCTGATCGTCATGATGATGAACACACATTGAGAGAGATTCAGATCCCCTTTTCGACATCCATGGGCAAATTTCGATTAGTAGACTCATGTAACGGTCTGCTATGTCTATCTGGTGTCTATGACCATGAAGAAGCATACATATACAATCCTTTCACCAGAGAACACAAAAAGCTGCCAAATTGTAATGAGCTTGATGTGAATGAAGTGGTTTATGGTTTTGGATTTCATCCGACTACTAATGAGTACAAGGTGATCAAAATATGCTACTATCCTCATGTCTATTATGTACCTTGGTGTTTTCACAAGTCTGTAAAATATGATTATCCACTCTCAGAAGTTCACTTGTTTAGTCTGAAAAGCAATACTTGGAGAAATTTAGAGGAATTACCTTACAAGCTTCATCATTCTCCCGGGGTTTTAGTCGATGGAAGGCTCCACTGGGTGACTAGATTTAACTTCCACCTTGATCGCCTTATCGTTGCCTTTGACCTATCTAATGATACATTTCAAGAGGTACCAAGGCCTGATTTCACTGTGAACTTATTACATTGGAGATATCATCTGGCTGCCCTAAGAGGCTGCCTATCAGCATGTTTATTCAGCTCTAATGGCGAGAACTTGGAAATTTGGGTCATGGAAGAATATAACAAGAAAGATTCTTGGGTGCACAAGTTCAATATCGGAGATTCTTCAATTGTGAGTCGAGATTTGCCTGAGTCATGTGACATTTGGAGGACTAATTTGCAAATGGGAACTGTTACAGTGATGTGTCTACTCAATAATGGTGACATCTTGCTAGATTGTCAAGGTGGGATTTTGATTGCCTATAGTACAGACAAAAAAATGCTGAAGATCATAAGCCTTTCTGGTATGCCCGAGTCGTGTAAAACAATTGCTCATGTAGGAAGCCTTAATTGGATATCTCATTTAGCTTGAAGTGGTAAACAGTATCTTTGTATCCATTTGACAAGAGTATATATATACATTGTTCTTTTATCTTGTTATATCTAGCATTTTCCCTGTATTACTTGAAAAAACTATGACTTTAAGATACCAGTTTGGAAATTGTGTTAGGCCTATGCTTTAAGTGTATGCTAAGAATCATACAATTGTACCGACTACCCTTGCTTTACTTGATCCTTTGCAGCCAGTTACACCTCTCGGAATGGTTAAAACAGTTAGAGAAGAAAACTAAAAATTTCTTATTAATACCCCTTACATTCCATACTAACCAAGACATCAACAATTGGAGGTGCCACCTCCTTCATTAGGAAGTGGTGGTGCAGCCAACACAATAATTGTGGGTTGTAAAACTTCAAAACCATTCTTCACTGATATGACTCTTCATAGCTGGACTACCTGGTTCAGTAGCGTTACTTATTACTGGGAACTTACCTCTGGTGTAAACTCCTCAGTTTCTGATTGATGATTGTGCGACACTGGTATGGTTGCCTGCAGCTTCTCATGTGTCTTGATTGGGTCCTGAACCACAGTCTCCTTAGGTTTCCAAATCATCTTTGGAGGTGGATATTGTCGTTTTGATTTTAGCTAGTCTTGTTGCTTGAGGTTCATCTTGTTACAATTATGCCCCACCATCAAATATTCTTCAAAATACCAGTCAAATGCTATCCCTTGTTGAAAAGAATGCCCCTATGCATCTATAACTCTTATCTCAGTAGGCATTCTTGCATAAGAAATCCTTGTTTGTTTGGTGGTGCACTCATATGCAAATAGAGGAATTCCTACATCACTCTCATTTGCAAATAGAGGAATTCCTACATCACTTGCAATTCTACTCAATGACTCACAACCCCAACAATTTAGAGGCAATTTTGGAAAGGTAACCCAAAGTGGGATTTCAGCTAATTAACAACTCTACCTTAAAATCAAGTTTGGGAGTCCATTGTTTCAAAATTATTGGCTATTTTTTGATACTATAAGGCACTGTGAATAGTATCTCCTTCATATCTGACTCCGATTGAAATTTCACTACATAGCGTGATAGAACTAATTAGGGCTAGCCATAGTAGTCAGCTTTGTGAGATAAACCTCTTTATATCATTATACCCAGGCATTTCTCCAATTACAAGCAAAATTAGCGAGGTCTCCATTTCAGAGAGGAGAGAGAAAACCACTAATATTTGAATGGTTGATTCTTGATTCTTCTAATATTGTGCTTCAATTGACTGAACGGTTAGTTGTCATTTTTTTTTTCTTTTTTCGGTTTTCCTCGTAGCTTAGATAGATGAGAACTTTTTTTTTTTTTTTCTTGCATCTCTTTAGTAGAAAAAACTAGTTTTACATTTTAAAATTTTGAAATCTCATATCCTGCTTAGTACAAATGCCAATTAATATTTAGAATATATTTTGTCTCTTAAATACTAAAATTTACTAACTAGTACAATTGGATAAGAATGTAGCAAAAAAAGTTTAGTTAATTTCAAATTAAAAAAAAATTACAATCATTGGAAATGAAATTCTATGGTATTTTTCGACGTCACGGCATCCACATTATTTATCCGTCGTGTGTAGTCATATTCATAAATGTAGGATCATTTTGCACTGAGTCATGAGTGATTATTCCACTGACAAATTGAATGTTTTCGTGATCATGTCAGAATTATATACTTTATTTTAATTTGATGATAATTTGTTAACTTGGTATCAAATTTTGTTGCTTCCAAAATTTCAAGCATGATTATCTTTTTTGTTGTCTTAACCATCCTGAAAGAGAAATATTATTAACGTCAACATTATAGACATATTAAATATGAAAAATATGGAAGAAAATATATTCTGACATTTATTAAAATGCATGGAGAAAATATATTAATTTTTTTACTAAAAATATTAAACTCGCGTAGCTCCTTACAATGTAGAAGACGGGAGGAAAATCTTGAACATAACACAGAAAACATGTATGATGAAAGTTTGAGTATATTGGATATTTCAGAAATGATAAAAAACATATATAATGCATCATTTATTGTGAATTTGTGTACCGTAAAAATATATACAATTTTCCTCAAAGAACAATGCATCATTTGTCGTGAATTTGTGTACCATTTAAACATATGAGATAAAATAAATAGAATAAGAAAAATGTATGTTGTCACTGAATCACTTACCTTGTTTGAGAAGATGTAAGTCTTGCATTGATTTTATGAAGATTGGAGAAATGTTTCGTTGATGAAAACATGTTATTTCAGCATATTTGGGAATATTACGATTTGACGGGTGTATTTGACCCAATTTTGGGGTATTGGGAAATAAATTAAGAAGAAGAAAAAAAAAAAAGGAAAGAGAACAAGTTAAATATAATTAATAAATCAAATAAGAAATACTAAAAAAAATTAAAATAATTATTGAAGGTGTGATATACTTTTGAAATGTCATTATTAAATATATCTTGTGAAATATTTCCTTTATTATATATGAATTAGATTGTTGTAAAACAAATGTAGAATATTAGATAAAAATTAAAATTTGGTAAATTCATAAAATAAGAATTGAAAATTAAAATTAGATAAATCAATAGAATAAGAATTGAAAAGAATTTACATGTGTGATCTCATCACGTATAATTAACTTTTTTCCTCGTTATCACATTAAAAAGAAGATTATATATCTTGCACAATATAGTATATAATAGTGAATGAAGAATTATAAATGTTGTGAATATATATTATAATAATTAAGCACAAGTCAGTTGATTGAAATAGTCACATGGAGTTATAATCTTACTTATTTCATAAAGTTTCAAGCAGTACTCTATTGTAAATTATTATTTAATTTGTATCTACTTTTTAAAATTATTTTTTGAAAATGTATTAGATAAAACCTCTTTTATTTTTATAAGATAAGGTAAGATTACGTGTTCGAAATTATATTAATAAGAAACCCAATAAAAGCTGAATCGATGAAAATCAAATTATAATTAATTTATTTAACTCCAACATTTAAAAATCTATTTTATTGATTTGATTTCTTTTATAGAAAAATAAATCCATCCAAACTATAAACACCTTTAATTGTGACAAAAAGAACTTCTTTCACATGAAGGTTTGAATGGTGAACGGAACTTATGTTATTATTGTTTCACAACGAATAACTCACTAATTTTGCAAAATGAATTCTTTAGATTTATTGTTATTTTTACAAAATGCAATACACATGTTAATAAAAATTAGAGTTTGTTCTTTATGATAATTGAAATTTATATTTCAAATTGAAGCACATTAATTAATATATAAAAATTTGAGTGTTGAACCGGTATTAAATTATTGAAATTCAATGAATTAGTTTTTATTTTAGAGCTAAAAACAAAAGCAATTGAATATCTAAACTTAAGACACACTATGTTAGGGGTGTCAAATGGGCGGATTAGGTTGAAATTAGAGATATTAAAATAAAAATTGGATTTAGCTTGACTGCTCAAATTTACTTTGGGCTAAAAAACGGGTTAAGTCATAACCCGCCCTATTTGACCGGCTTAATCTCAATAATTTTAGTAAAAATTACATAAATCTCTAGTGTTAAGAGGTAATTACACCCTATCCCTATTCTTTCCCAAATTACGAAAATCCCTTAAAATTATAGGTTCTCGGATACATCAGGAAACTTGCAAATACATAGCTCACGGGATGTATCCGAGAAGGGATAAGAATGTTTTCGAAAGGGGAGGGATGTATCCGAGAGAGATACAAATGTATCAGAGATGGGATTTTTTGTAATTTTTTTCAAATGATAGAATTTTTTAGAGATTATAATAAAATAAGATGTGTATTAATGTAATTTTTTTCTTAATTGTAACATATTGTTATAATTATTTAACTTTTACAACCATATTTCGAATTTTAACTCAAGAATTTTTTATTTTTTTAAAAAAAAGTTACAAATGGATAGATAAATTTTAAAAGAATTCATACTTTCCATATACGAACATACGTTATATCAATGCAAATAAATTGTCTTAAAATGGATTGAAATTGGAGATTAAATTGGACTCATCGATCAATTGAGGATTCTATTAAAATGGGTTAAGACTTGAATGAGTTGAGACTGAACCCAATTTAAATTATCTTGAGCCAAATCTTTAAAATTCTAAACAAATTGGACAAATTATCTATATTTTGGCTCGTTTTGACACCCTACTATCATATCCTGAGTGTGAAAGATTCGTGAGTAAGTTATCGAATGCCGCACGGAACATTAGTGAGACTTTAAATCTGTGATACTACGATGTATGCATTTTAAGAGTTAGATATGTGCGTCTAAAATAGTACTTTAGGCATACATGATAGAAGTAGCAAATACTATACACACACATATTTTAGAGAAAATGGCCAAATGACCCCCCAATCTGTAATCGGATTTCCAACTACACACTTATATTTCACGGGGGTCCTATTACCCCATGAGCTATTTTAAAGTGAAATTATTTCCTCCTTGAAATGTCATTACCAGCCATCTGTCTTGTGGTGAAATACACACACTTGACACGTGTATTTCACCATTTAATGATTTTTTTAATAAAAAAGTTCTCCTCCTTCCTCTTTCTTTCTTCAACCTAACTACACTAAACATCATTTTTTACCTCAATAAATTTCTATATCTCTAACATTTTATAAAAACGAAAATTCAACTCACCTTTTCATCTACTCCGAATCTCTAGAGTCTAGAAGATAGCGGTCCTAATTAATCAAATCTTTCATCCAACTAATTCAACAATTTTCACATTTTTTTTACATTTCGTTTGATTTTCTTTCTTGGACAATTTCAAATACACATTAAATGGGTCATGAACATTCGAGATTAGATTCATCCCTTGAAGATTTCGCCGACAACTCAAAATAATCGCGGATGAGAAAACCAATTTGTAACACCAATTTGAAAAACCTCTCTCGATCTCTCTTCCCCATTCTTTATTATTTCTCCCTCAAAAAATTTCATGATTAATTTATAATTTGAGTTTTTGATTTTGATTCTTCATGAATTTTAGGAGAACATGTAGGATCCTTCTTTTAAAATGTAGAAGAAATTGTTTTGTTTTAGTTTCTTCTATTAAGTTTGAAAATATTTTTTTAAATATACAATTACTTCACTTTGATTTTGTTACTCTTGAATCCATCACTTTAAAAAAATATTAATTAATGGGTATGGTTTTTAAAAAAAAAAAAAAAAATTTGTTAGATATGTCCTAAATAAGTTTATTGAAAAATTATTTATTCATTAAATGCATTTGTTGTTGATAATTTTTATTTCAAACATCCATTGAAAAAGCTTCAACAACGATAATGGTGAAAAATGTTGTATAGATAAATAAGAAGAAAGAGAAAGAAAAAAGAAAATTAGAAAAAAACGGAAATTAAAAAAATAAAAATAGGCAACTCGCTCTCTATGCCAACTCAGCACTTAAGGGGTTATTTATTCCATTTTAAAGTAGTTCAAGGGGGTAATAGGACTCCCGCGGAGAATAGGTGTGTAGTTGAAAATCCGGAAATAGGTTGGAGGGTCATTTGGCCATTTTCTCCATATTTTAAGTTATGTTTGAAGTAGTTAAATTTATAAATAACATAAAATGATAATAATTATAATAATAAAATCTAACATAAGGTACAACCTAAATAATAAGAATAAGAATAACAATAATAATAATAATAATAATAATAATAAAATAGGCAAGTTACGAAAATTCCACTAGTTTAGAAGTTAATTACTTAGATTTACACTAGTTTATAATATTACGAATCTTACCATATTTTAGACTTCAGAGACATATATTTGGCGCATTCAAATACGTCCAGATACATGTATTTTGAATATATAGAATCAAAATTAAGTATAATTTATTCTAGAGAGATTAATATGATAAAAAAGGAGTAATATCAAATAAAGATCAAATAGTAAATAAAAATAATTTAAGCAAATTCTTTTTTTAATTAACTTTTTTCTTGTGCCTTGTGAATCACCATACTAGAACAGGAACATATTAAAGTAACCCATTAGAAGGAAACATCAGAGTGTCAACAAAAAAAGCTTCGTGCTTTTCATATCTTTTTTGCAAATGCGTGAAATAGTATTACTTACCATATTTATTTACTAATAATAATAATTAAAGTATAATTAGTTACCATATTTAAATCCTAATTACACTAGAATAAGACAACTATTAATTTTTCCATTCCTAATCCTTGTAGTATTTTATGTTACTCACTCCCATAATTTTACTTATTTATTTATAAATACCATTCAAGGCTCTCAGACTATCAAACACAAGTTGAAATTTTCCCTCTGCCAGTCACAAATAATGGAAAGGGATGGTCTCACCGCCTGCGCAACATCTTTCATTCAACGCCTGCAATTACACCCACGTATTTTCGGCCAATTCCAACGAGTGATGAACGATTATTCAACTGACAAGTTGAATGTTGCCGATCTTGTTTTCGAATTGGATACTCTTTTCCAATTCCACCCTGATTTTCTAACTGGCTATAGAATTTTCTTGCCGCCACACTTGCGACCAACATTACCTTCCCCTCCGCAGTCACCAAAGAAGAAGCTGCGTCCCTCCCTGACAGTGTTGAAGCCTTATAATGTATTTATGAATAAAGTGCAGAAACGCTTTGCTGATGAACGAGGAGTTATCCTCGAATATTTGGACACCATTAGGAAATTGACACAAGCTAAACTATGTAATAAAGAGGCTCATAATGCAATTATGATAATCTTTGGTAAAGAAAATCAAGATTTGATAGATGAGTTTGAGTTTCTTCTTTTGGGTAGAAACGGAATTAGAAAAGAGAAGAAGAAGAATTCAATGGAAGATAAGAAGAAGAATTCAATGGAAGATGAGATGTTTGAGCTTGACATGAACTTGTCCCGTCGGAAAACAGCTGAGGATTCTGCAAAAGAGTTGATGTACTTACTACAACAACATGAGGATCAACTAATCAATATCGACATTTATTTCAGTGCTGTGAGTCTGGGCTACATAAGGAAAATATATAAAGAAGAAGGTTCCTCTATTATAACAAGATTGCGGGATGATCCAACGACTGTTTTGCCCAAAATTTTGAAAAAGTTGGAGTCGGAAGAAAAGGTCCTGATCAAAAAGTGGCGCGATATTCATCAGAAGAAAAAGAATCCATGTAAATTAAGGAGTATAGTATAGGGGTTTGAATGTAGTTTTTTTTATTTTTTTATGACAAGGGAAACCCGCAAGCAATAGCTCGCAAACCACCGCACTAGGCAAGCCCGGTGCGACGAGCTCGACCCAGAAGGCAAACCCCGCTGGCAAGGGGTTTCGAACTTGAGACATCCAACATGAAAGTCCCAAGCCCAAACTACTGGGCCACCCCGAAGGGTTTGAATGTAGTTTTACTTTGTTATTATGCCGTTTAATGAATTGCAATTAATTAGAGTAGTAATTATTTACATAATTCTGTATGAACTCCATTAATACACCAGTAAAGTTTCCAAAAATGACGTTTTCATATTCTACATTGCAATGCTTTATCAATTTCTTCACGAGTTCAAAATGGCTATCAAGTATCAAGTCAAATTTCCCCAGATTCCTTTAAAGGGGACTAAAAGTCCCATTACCTCAATACTACCACAAGAAAAGATGCTCGCTAAATGGTCCACAACACCAATCATCTTGTCCACCTCCAAATGAAAAACAGAATCACTATTGTTAAGACCATTCCAGCATACTTGATCCATCTATCAACGCGATTCCTCTTCTCGATGAGTCTCATTACAGAATTTGAAAGCCCCAAAGTGTTGAGCACGTCTAGTGCTTTACGTTGAGCTCTCTGCAACAAGGTTTAACAAAAGACCAGTAGTTTAACCATAATATCCTTAAGACTAACACAAACTTTAGAAAGTAATAAAAGTAACCGTGGCAAAAGAATATAACCAGAGTAAATGATAACAAATGTTCACTGCCCTGTATTCCTTTAACAAAGTAAGGGTTTTTCCACATTTATCAAAGGGGTTCAACTCAAGGCCCTGCAGTGTTTTAGAAACCAAACCTCTGTGACCTCGAACTCAGATTAACACGTCTCCCTTTTAACCAGGAAGTTCAAGACCCACAAGTTTTTGGAAAGTTCACTCTTGCAACCAAAGCTTGAAAAATAGAAACATAACATAAACAGGACCTTTTTACTGTCCTTGCTTTACACTTTCACCTTGCAGCCACCTTTCTGCTTCTTGCTAAAAGGGTTGGTACTAAAGAGCAAAACTTGATTAAGCATCCCTCATCTTTTTTAAAAAAATTATGAAGATTAACCATCCCTCATTATCATATGCGCTTATTACCGTTCTGTCTCTAAATTCATTTAAGCAAAACATGGAGGAGAGAAACCATACTGTCATCAGCTAATATATATTGACTATTTCAACGTCCCCCTTCGAGCCAAACATAGCTGGTGAAAGTAGTAGTAGAACTTGGAACTACTCCCCCTCTGTTCACTTTTACTTGTTCACTATTCCAAAAATAGATTTTCACTTTTACTTATCATTTTTAACATATCAAGAAAAGACAAAAAAAATTTCATTCTTTACACTTGGCAATAATTACTTATTCCCAAATCATTTTCCAAAACCTAATACTAAACATCAATTAATAGGGGTAGTGTGGTAAACTAGCCATGTCAATATTGTTTTCTTATTGGGTGTGACAAGTAAAGGTGAACGGAGGGAGTATAAGATAGCCAAACACTCTTACTAAACAGGCAATCTTTTCTCCACTTTCCAGGCAAAATTCCCAGCACATAAAATCTCATTTCATTGCAGTAACGAACTAAACAAGCTTCTATGCTGTACAATATGTAAAGAAGTGAATCAGGTCTCCATCAGAAAGTACCTTCAAACGATCCCTTTGCTCACTATATTTAGATAGAATGGCCACACCTGTTGCCAAGGTTTCTTCCATCATTCTGGATGAATTACGAGCAGATTGCATCGCCTGTGCTTCGTCATCAAAAATCCTCAGAACATGGGATGAATCACCGTTCTAGAACATAAAGTAATCCATTAGAAGGAAACATCAGAGTATCAACAAAAATATTTAATAACACCACTAAGAAAACAACGCCATACACTTCTCCCAATCAGTTCTGCTCTCTCCCGGGCTTCTTGCATACGTCGCTGATGTCTTAAATTATATTTATCCAGACTAGCTTTCAAATAGTCAGCTTCTTCAGCCACTTGTTCCACTTTTCTGCATAAGGAAGACATAAACTCAACATACAACATCAACGTGAAATGAGCAGAAGACTGACTACCATTGAGCATACAATAAACAAGCTCCAAAGAGCCTGACCTTCTGGTTTACTCCTAGAGTACAACAGTTAACTTAATAAGCCACTCCTTAATTCAGTAACCAGGCTCATCAGATATTGCAAGATGGTGCTTTCTCCATTACAGATTTTGCACCTTTCTCAAATAACCCATATGAATATAACCCTCTTATGTAATCATAGCGGAGCTAAGGCAATAATCCGGTGACATGCAACTTTTTTTAAAAACAAGTGACTTGTAACTGATTTAATAGGATTAGGAGCTCCGTTGACCTAAATACACACAGAATCCACTCACCTGTCTAAATCGTCATCCATACATCGAAAGTTGATAACAAGATCGATACACATTTTTCTCATTCCCCAAGTTCAATGGACACCTAATAGGATGGAAAGAAGAGGGTCACTAACTAATTTTCTCAAGTCCCTTTAAAATGGCTTTCATTTCTTTACTTGTTTGGATGGTTGTTACCTATTGCATTGTATAGTATAATTAGGAATGTGATTCATTATACTTGAATCACCAAAATTTTACAACGTACAACACCAAGAGAAGTTGTCGCTGAACATTACAAAGAGGAGTGATCCTACTGAGATTTTAAGCCTCGTATACTAAGACTGAACACAGTACTTCAAGCATTGTAAACTACATTTCTAATGTGAAACCTATACATACTCCATATACAAATGTCAACCTCATCTGAATGGAGAACCAACTAACATGCGCAATGCAGACTAACAACTCTAAGTGAAAGTCAACGTTGAAAGAAAATATGATGTCAGCTCATAAAGAATTGGGATTCAGCCACCTTCCGGCTTCCAGTAAGCCTCTTAGTCAGTGTCCCTCAGATGGAATCAAAATTTTACATGGAAAAGGATCTTAACTAATCGGATCCATTAATAAACAACCTCCAAATTCAAACAAACTCAAAATTTGAAACAAAAAATATTTGCTGATTCTATCTTATTTGGCACTAATACTCTGATAGCATAGACGGAAACCTGATACTTAAAGGGAGAACAAAAGGAGAAAAACTTAAAGCAGCAAATTTCAATGAGTTATATATTTTAGTTCATAATCCTGCCTAACCACACATGATGCGCAATTAGACCTCTCAATTATAAATATGTAAAGAATTAAACAAGGTATAATCTCAAACATATTCACCTTGATCGAAGAAATCAACCAAACTAGACCACAAATTACAGAAAAATTAGAATTCAATTTCAACTTATCAATCAATCATATTTCAATCCCAACTTACTGAATCAGCAATACAAATCCTAGTATATATTACACTCATATCATTCCAATACTACGTAATTTGAATTTTAAAGCAAAGCAATCTCAATACGATAGATCGAAATTCGATGAACCCTACCTTTTCCAGAGATCACGCTGGGATTTGGCAGATATGGATCGCCAGAGAAGTTCCATCTTAGAGCAAAGAGACTGGATCTGAGCGATATCTTGTCTTACTGCATCAAACGGTTGTTCTGAAGGATCGGCCATGACAGCACTCGAAGATGAAGATGACGGTAGCATGGAAGAAGAAGACGACGAAGTGTACTCGAAACGCTCGAGCCTCTCCAAACCATCTCGAGACTTGAGTAAGAGCCGTCTCGAGCTTTGGTAAAGTTCCGATAAGGTTCCACCACCGGCACCGGAATTTCCTTCTCCGATCCCAACCGCCGTTGCCATGGTTCACGTGTCTTCTGAGAGCTTCAACTTTGAATCGATCGGAGTTTCGATAAATTTGAAAAATTACAGAAAGGTTCGCTTTATGAATTTTTCTGTATGTGCAAGAAAACCCCATCTTTTTCTGTGATATACAAATTAGACCTTAATCCCAAGTGGAATTAGTTACATGAGTTCTTAATGTATATTTTTTAAAATTACATTTGAATGTGCAACATCAACGTTCTCAACTATTTTATTGACCACTAGGTCACACTCTTAGGTGCGTGTATTACTAATATTTTATAAACTTATATTGATATATAGGAGCGGAGTTAGAAGTTCGAATATGAGTTCAGTCGAATTCAACAACTTTTGCTCAAAGAATGTATTTATATTAATAAGTTTATTAAACATATACAAATATTAAATTTAGAACTCAGTTATTAACATTTGAAATTGTCATTGTAAAACTTGCACTCATATACAATATTATTGGTTTTGCAATTGTTGTTTTATATAGATAAATAAACTTTGGTAATTAGCAGACTAAATTTTGTGAGCTTATATTTTCTTACTTTTAATTATCTTAAAACCTTCACTCTAAAGTGTTTTTCTTATTTAAATAATTTTGTAGATTATCCAAACCCTCTTTGTAACAACCTTGTTTATTCGGACATTTTTTAAAAGATGTGCATACTGATTAATTTCTTTTTTTAAAAATAAAACTAATATATTATTAATAAATCCATAACTAAAATGTATAAAATAATGGGTCAAAATATCTAAACATGTTAGTGTCAATCCTAGACATTCTATTTCTATAAAATTATTGTTATAAAGAAGTAATTTTGTAAAGAGCGTATTATTATAAAGATAGATGTATGTTCTACATAAAAAATTATTATAAAGAGGTAAAATATAAGTAACATATAAAATTAATTTAATTTTTTTTTAAAAAAAATCATAAAATGTTACTAGAGGTTATTATAGAAAGGTTTGTATGCCAATCACCACCATGACCTGAGGCAAGGAGGGCAAGCCACAATTTTTAATTGAGAAAATACATAATTATCCCATTAAAGTAAGATCTATTTTTTAAAATGGCACTTGAACTTTGTAGGGGTTTTATTACCCTATTATTCTTATTTAGAATGAGTTAATTGTCCCATTACGTTCCTACGTGGTATGTAGAGTGTAGTTCACTCTCTGATAGAGAGTGAGCTTAACCAAAAAGTAAATAATATTTATTTAAGTATTTATTTAATTAAAAATATTATTTTTTCTTTTCTTTTATTTATTTTTATTGTACTTTCTCAATTTTTTATTTTTGTTATTTCTTCCCCAAATTTCAAAAGAACCAACTACCTCCTCTCTATCTTCTTCAACTTAGAAGACTCATTTACTTCACTCATTTTTTTCCTTTGTCTTCTTGCTTCTATTTGTTCCTTTTTCTTAATTGTAAACCTCCTTGATAACATTGTTCTTTTTTAGACATAAATAAATAAATTGTTATGTAGTTCTTTAGCATGTAAATAAAGAAATTTCTTCGATTTGAGAGTATTATAAATTCCATTACCTTCATCGCAATGGAGTTCCGCCGCATAATTGTTGTAATTTTAAAAAGGAGATGGTAGATTGGAGGTGATTAATAATTTTCAATTTATAATTTGTTAGTAATTTTATTTTTGATTTAACAAAAAATTGATGATATTATAGTATTATAATAGTGACATTGAAGACTACTCCGGAGAATTGACGAAGATGGCGGCTACGTTGAGGATTTCTGGGCAGCTAGAAGGACCGAAGAAGAGCAGAGGAGGCTAATGAAGAAAGAAGAAGAAAGAGAAAAAGAAAATGAAAATAATAAAATAAGAAAAATAACAAAAATGAAAATAAAGATAAAAAATTAAAATTTAACACATGATAGATAATAAGTGGTGCGTCATTGCACTTCTTTTCTTGCAATTGAGGGTGGCTGAAAAATGACATATTTACAACACTTTAAAATTGTTTAAGGAGGTACTAGAACCCCCGCAAAGTTGAAGTGTTTTTTTAAAAAACAGGTCTTACTTTAATGGGATAATTATGTATTCTCTTTTTAAAACTATCATTATGTGAAAGTCTTAGTGCAACTCGATACACTAAGCTTCGACTATATAAATGATTTAAGAAGAGCTTAATACATTAGATTTATTGTACATAGGCTACAAAATCAAGAGTAATTTCATTCATTTGTCATTCTATGACAATTAAATAAAATATAGCCTACACACAAAGCACTAGTTCAATTCTGTGAACAAGTATGGTCAGAGACATATCTTTGTATGTTAGTCAGAATCTTTTCTAATAAACAATATTAAAAGTAACATTAGCAGAGCCCAAATTTTATTGGTTAAACCCCTGCATGTGAGACCTGGATAACATCCCACTTCACCAAATACCAACAAAAAATATAATTACAGAAACTTGTGCATTACATTATAAATCTAGATAAACTGTCAGTTGAGCACCACTCACCATTCCCATAACCCCAAAAGAAATTGTCAATCTCACCTTGTCACAAAGGAGAAGTAATGTCAAGAAGTTTTCTTGCTCTGCTGCTTTTCATGTTTCTCACAAAAATTTCAGGTAAAATCTCATATGCGTACACTCTACCCTCCCCAGACTCTACTCGTGGGATTTCAGGGTATGTTGTTGTTGTTTGATAGTCACAACTCACACATTTTATTTCCCTTTTTTTTTCTTTTGGTGTTTTCATAGTGAATGGGCAACTAGAAGAATGGTGCATAGCAGATGAACAGACACCAGATACTGAGTTGCAAGTGGCTTTAGATTGGGCATGTGGGAAAGGAGGTGCAGATTGTAGCAAGATTCAAAAGGACCAGTCTTGTTATTATCCAAATACTGTGAGAGATCATGCTTCTTATGCCTTTAATAATTACTTTCAGAAGTACAAGAAGAAAGGTGGAACCTGTTTCTTCAACAATGCTGCAATGGTTATTCAAGTTGATCCTAGTAAGTACTACCTGTTTTCTGTTTCAATTTGCAAATTATATAATGTCTTTAACAAGAAACAGATGACAGAAATTAGGTTAGTAAGTTTGTGTTATCAACCAATATGTGCCAAATTACACGATTAGAGGAATGGCGGGAGTATACTCCTAGAAGGGAGATTCTCGCTCAACTAAGAATGATTCTCATGTTTGGAAAAAGTTAAGTTCAGTATCAATAACAAAGAATAGAAGTTGAAGATCGATACTGAACTTCTATGTTAAGTTCAAATCATGGATCCGCTTCTGTATCACACTATTCAAATGCACCAATGACATCTTGAATAAAAGGGTGGGGTGGGGGAGGGGAGTAGTAAAAGGAAAAACTTGTCTTGTATCCAAAGGAATGTCTAGATCATGTTATCACATGAAACCATGTTAAATTACAAAAAGAAAAAGAGACCATGTGAAATCTTCTATGCTAAGCTCAGTATGGATCTGGATTATCTTATATACTATCATGTGCTATTAGGCAGCTTTTACTTTTATTGCTACTTGCTTTTCTCTGTCTTCTTCATTAATTATTTACTTGTTAAACAACATATCAGCTAACTTTTGATCCGCATTTTGCTTGCTTACAGGTCATAATTCTTGCCACTACGAGTACATGCCCTAGTACTTTGTGTTTTTCAATCTCTTAAACGCCAGGTTCAGGTTTTCATCATTTATGCCAAGAAAGATAATCATGGAGATTAGACAACTGACTATATCCTGGATTTGAGTAGTTGAATTCAATACGTTGTAGCATTTTTGCAATTAAAGATTCAAGATAAGAGGCTGCTAATCATGCAATTGTGACATCCACTAGTTTATCTCTATTTGGAGCTTCTTTACTTCAACAATGCAATTTCAGCTAGTGTTAGTAAACCAATTAAAATTCATATGAAAAAGATGAGGGCTAAATCAACTCAATTTTCATACCTTGACTTAATTGGCCAGGGTGACTCCACTTGCTAGATATAAAACTCAGGTTCATGCCTCATGCACCAAGGCGAAACAATATGAAAGCTCGAACTTAGCATTAACTTTGTATTAGGAAATTTCAAATCAACTTTATTGGTAAGTTATATGGTCCAGCATTCAGTATACTGAACTTCAACTTCTCTTTTACACATTCAAGGAACGTCGAATGGTGCTTACAGAATATTTCCACCAGTTCCGTTGCTATTTTACAGAAAGTGAAACAGGAAAGTGTGACTAGCCCGTTTGATTCACCAAATGCTCAATAAATCTGCAGAATCAATCAAGTTTAGCAACTGCTGCTTGCTAACTCTGGGCATCCGTTCTCCTAAAACAATAAACTTGCCCAAGCAGCAATAAATGCAAAGCCACCAAAAGGGGCTAAGGTTGAGTATTTCCTGTCTTCAAGAAGTGCAACTGCATAGCACCTGTAGACAGACAGACCAGCATTTTGCTTTTCTTAATTACACTCATTACTGAAGTGAAAATGTATATTCACCGAAATGTTCACTAAAGAAGATAGTAGTAGTAGTAGTAGTAGTAGTAGTATTCAACTAGACTTCCAATCTATTTAGGTAATCAATCATCTAAGAAAAATATATCTGATTCGTTCAGACTCTTGTCCAGATAAAGCCTGAAAAAAACATTTTGGCATTTATATTATAGACATTGGGCAAGTTGAATCAAATTAAACCACTAAATATCCATATCTAATTTAATATACGAGCGGGCCAAAAATCACCAGCCTGTCTCAGAAGGAACACCTATGGTTGGCCATCCAAGCAAGTTCATCTAAATAAACACCGAAGCATTCACTAACAAATTTCAAGCGGTACAGTATCTAAGTAATTGCTTTGGGGTTCCAAATCCACAAGTTTTTAGGTCCAACACCATCAATGCTTATGCGTTTGTTTTATTTCAATAAGCAAGTTCTAAATGCAACAATCACAAAAAAACATGACTATGATTACTAGAAATTGATTCTACTCGTGAACAAACTAAATAGGTGCAATAACTACTTCTAGTTTTAGAAATTATCAGGACTTTTAGGATATCAAAAAGTCATAAAAAGTTACCAGAGGATCGACAACCAAAAAAGAATGAAATATGCTAATTACATTGCAGATCCATGCCAAATCATTCAAGTCCCCAAACAATAGTCTTAAATATGAACAGTGTATAATACATACTATCTGGAACACTAAATGAATTTCACAATAAACAAACAGTTTATCAAAAAGAGCTAATGAACTTATTTTTACGGGCTCCAAATGCTACTTAACAAATAGTGTACTATCAAGAATTTTAAATTGCAATATCTAGTAGCCCTATAATATGAAGACAATCAAGCTGGAAAGGCCAAAGCTTGACCCAAATGAAAGTTGAAACCTAGAAGGCTAACACAAACACCTATGGGGAAATTTTGGTTAGAATTGAGTTTCAGAACAAAGAAATCAAATTTCTTAATTGCTGAAAACTGTTATTGACAATCACCTTCTTCTCTAATTCTGGAACTTCTAAACCTTTATGGTCCCTTACATTTTGAATCCGCGGATAGATTATCTTTTTTCAGCATAAAACGGCACGTGACCTTGTAAAACCAACTTACAAGAAAAGGTAACTGATCCATAGTCATAGAGGTGAACTATCGGGCAATGAGAACAACTTCAGTTTTTTTTGTTTTATGACAAGGGAAACCCGCAGCCGCTACCTTTTGGGTGCGCACAGGGTAAAAACCCCGCTCCTATGCAATAGCTCGCAAACCACATAGGAGAGGTAACCCGCACTAGGCAAGTCCAGTGCGACGAGCTCGACCCAGAAGGCAAACCCCTTGCTTTCGTTGTTAGGGGGTTTCGAACTTGAGACCTCCAACATGTCCCAAGCCCAAACCACTGGGCCACCTTCAGTTTATTTTTAATCCCAGTGAAGGAGACATCCTGACTTAAAGATGAGACCTCATAGTTAATAATTTCACCAATTTCAGGAAAAGCCTTCTTTTATTTGGTAACACAATAGGAATCACAAACATTGCAATTCAGAGCAGCTTTTAGCATCATAAATGTGCAATTTATCTTTAGAATGCTGGATCTAAAGCTCAACCAAGACTAATTGGGGTCTTTCTGTTACTTAGAAATTACTAGTAGATTTCATTGCTGAAATTAATAGATTGAGACATGATTACACTTTACAGCGACAAGAAGAGGGAGATGCTCCCGTCAACAAATTATGAGAAAAGGAGGGAATTCCCGAACTGTTCTAAGAATTCAATGACTAAATAAATAAAAAAACATAATGTAAATCCAACCAAGTCCACAGTTTAATCTTATCCACTTTACACATGCTTTACACCTATTTGTATTGGTACTTATGATCTTGAAAATGATTTAAGTTTGGCAAGAATTCTTCTAGTAGACATCCATTATTTCTCAACCGGTAAAATGCAGACAACATCACAGCTACAAATATCCTTATATTTCAAAGAAAACTTTACTATGTGTGTGTGGTGGGATCAGTAGATTAAGAATTTCACTCAAAGATCAAAAAAGAAAGTGTATATGCATTTACACTAGCTAGTTCTCAATTTAGAACAAGGTATAATGGTATCAAAGCACTAATATCAGCCCATTCAAACACGACCAGATGCACAGAACAGAAATAGAGGTACTTACGTTCCAGAGAAAGCCATAATCCCACCAGTTAGCAGCCCTCCAAACTACAACAATAAAACAATAACAACAACTACCCCTCAGTCCCAGTGGCGGAACCAAGATTTTCACTTCAAGCATTCAAAATAATATAAAAGTAAACATAAATATAAAGAAATAAACATACGAAGAAGTCAAGAAGATTCAACATCTACTACTATATATACATAAAAAATAATTTTGATAGTCTATATACAATGTAGTTTTTCAACGAACCCCCTTCCTGTACCCTAGCTCCACCCCTGCTCAGTCTCGTTTGGATCCCCTACTTAAAATTAGTGACAAAATCATAGAGGGAACTCACAATGTTTGGATGTTTAGTGATAGGCGCAGCAAGAAGGGCAGCAGTGTGAACCAAATGGTACAGTGAGGCAGTATTCCACACCTGCAATTCCCAATTACAACAAAATAACCCAAAAATTCAATCTTTACTCATAACCCAACAAAGAAAATACTAAACTGAATAATGGGGAAAAGGGGTAAAAAAGAAAACAAGAACCTCTTTGTAAGTGAGGTTTTGGGGCTTGAAACCATGAGCACCATAAGCTCCTAACCCAACAGCAGCTACACCTGTTTCCCAAACCTTACAATTTTTCAGTTAAGGATTCTTTAAACCCACAAAATCATTTTTTTATAAGAATAAAAAGAAGTAGTTTACCAGATATAGCAGCAATCTTGTGCCAGATTTGAGGATCCATTTTTGATGATTTCTGGTTTTTGGATGAACTGGTTTTGATCTTTGCAACTTTGTTCAAGTTGGGTCGTCGCAGCATAAGTCTGTTGCCTCTACTCATAAACTTATTTTTTTGACTATTTCCTAAACAAGTAATTATGTGGAAAAAATAAAAAAAAATTCAATACCCGTTATTCTTTTAACTATATGAAATCGTTTATAAGCTATAATAATTTTGTGATGAAATGTTTCATTATTATATCATGTATTTGATTGGAAATATTAGATAGTTATTTAACTATTCAAAAGATTCAACATGCAAAGAGACAGATGACTAATGACTAACGACTTTGAATATCAATATATTATTGGGAATAATGTTGGGATTTGGTATGAGATCGATGCTGTAATCTAAACCAACAAGTAATAGCAACGCTCCTATTTAAGAAAACGATGTCATTTTCTTTAAACTTGTTATCTTGAATTGCGAGTTAACATATATACGTAATTGGAAGTAATGATTTACTCCAAATTGAACAGAACCTTGCCAGCCTAAAATTTAGATTAACATCGAGTAAAAAAAAGTCTCTCTATTCCTCTCTCTGTTCCTAATCCACGCCACAATTATTGTCAAAAGATTTAATTATTGGCGATCCACTTGATCTTTGTATTAACCGAATAATATACTTATAGTTCACGAGATTTATGAAAAGAAAATGATAATATGATTCTGAATATGAGGAAGTATGACGAAAAGTTTTGGGACCTCGTAAAGGAATATCTCATTCATTCACGAGTCTTAGAAGTGATTACATTATCCGAATTGTATGGTGTTTAAAAATCTCATTGCATGTTAATCGTAGTTTAATCACTGCACTAATTGAGAAGCTGAAACTCATAATTTCCACTTTAGGATGGGTGAGGCAACAATCACACCTTCCAGAACGTAAAAGTGTTTTATGACCTACTTGTGATAGGTGATTCAATACTTGGGTATGAGCACATAGTTACTATTGCACATTGATAGAATATTTGTCAAAAAATATTAGGCTTTACTCCATGTTCTCAACACTTTAAACATAGTAACCTCAAGGTCTTGGCGTTGAATAAACACCTTGCAACTTCGACCACAATTACCTGGTGGCAACACAAAATATGGTCAATGAGAAGGCTAGGAGTCATATGTTTTGGATGATTGTTGATTTAATGATGGCAGACACATCTGATGATTTTTTGAAGCCCATGTACTTACCTATGCTCAAGGACATCACTACAATAAGGTGCTACCATTTGGATAGTGCAATGCTTGTATCACTTTCTTCGTAAAACCTTATAAAGTACCTAAAATAAGATTGTTGGATTCCTACTACTACTCCAGGTATATCAAATTATTTATTGAAATTTTTTCTTCTAATTTATAAGTATCTATCTTTGTATACATATACTTCGTTCAAATTTGGGCCTAAGAGAAAGAATTACTATCCTTAGGGCCCCAAATAGTAGTACAAAGGGACACGAGAAATATTTTCCCTATCAATTGCTATATGGTTTGCACTTTTTATCACATCACTCATTTTGGCTTAAGCTTGTTTGGCTTCGTTTTCAAACAACTCCAGAGTACTGAATGGCAAAATCATGTGAATAATAAAAGAGATAGCACCTAAGTAATTCCTTTTCTTGATTTTTTTCGTAGTAAAAAATAATCTCTCTACCTTTGTAAGATAGGGATAAGGCTCACCACCCTTTGCAATCTCACATGTGAAATTACACGTTGTTGGCTTAAGAAAATATATTTTATCTCCTTGTAGTACCCTACAGCAAATAGGGCAAAAGCATCTTTGTAGCTTTAGAAACATATCATTTACTCCATAAACCAATTCAATAACAGGCATGAATGAGTAAGCATTTGTTTTCGTTGCGAAAACCATCTGAGAATATCTAAAATCCCATCACCCTGTGTAAAGAACAATCATAGATCAAATATATCAATATAAGGATTTGTTTAAACAAACAATTGAGTGAGAAATCAGTAACCGGGTTAGTTGGGAGGAAATTTTCACTGCCACTGAAGAGAAACCAAGATAGAATTGAAAATTTGAACTACAGCAGTTGGATGTTTCAAGGATGATTTGATGCCTATAACACTGCAGTTCCTGAGAACATTCAGCAAAGGCATCAAGAATATGTCCTTATGATCACTAAACTGAGACATAATAAGCAGTTAAAAGCAGAATATGAAATACCATTACAAGTCGTTAACCATAACTATAGCCGCCTAAAACAATGGGGGCATCTGTTAAGTATTGCTTGGATCCTTGGAGCTATCTAATATTTTGAGAATCATTCTTCGTTGTATATTAAAATATATACAATTTGAATCTCGATACTGTTTAGAATGACTGATGAAAAGGACCTCTGATTTTAATACCTTATTTATCTTGGTCTTTCCTTCACCTATACCTCTGTTACAGCCCGAAAATGCTCACCTGGTGTAGCAGAGAAATTTTTTTCCATTCTGCTGGGTTCTTCACAACTATGAACTTCCTTTACAGATTGAGGAAGCTCAGTGGAAATCCTGAACAGGTTTTGCGGTTCATTTGAGATATCTTGAATCTGCAAACCACGTCTAGTGCCATGGAGCTCATCAGGAACACCAGGATATTCTGTTTGTCCAAGTTTTTCTTCCATCAACATTTTGGTTTCAGCCTGAGATGTCACATTTAGATCAAATCCCACTGCGCTTTCAGCTTCAGTAGTTCTTTCCTCCTTGGCGTCATTTACTCGCTGAAGTAAATCTTCTGGAATTGCAGCAGGGTCAAGATCCCAGCACCCCTCAGGCAAGTTCATTCTTTCACCTTTCAGTAAGCAAGATGGTACCTGATGTGAAAATCGTAACATCTCTCTTCTTGGAATCAATCGAATGGCATCCTTGTTGGTGTTTCTAGAGTATACAGTCTTGAACCCATCTAGTTTAACCAAAGGAGTAACACAGACACCAAGCTCTTCAGAATAATCATCAAGAACCTCAACCATTTCATACTGGTGCCTTACTTCAGCTGGGGTTGTTCCGTTCCAATCTGGTGACCAATTTCGATATACAGCCCAAATGTCTCCACTTTTTGGGTAGATTCTAATACTACCTCCCCTTCCAACTTTTTCCTTACTTAGCAGGTGAGAAAATATGTTTACATGCTCAACAATTTCAGAGTTAAAGGCCCTAAAATTTCCACATGACTTGGTAAAACCAGAATCCAACCAATTGACCAGCCCAAATTCGCTATCTGTCTTTGAACTTATGTAGCTGATATGAACTTTGAATGGTTTCACAGATATGATTTCACGAATCAAACAATACAAGCGAGGCATACCATCTTCCTCATCATATAAAGCCCATATCTGCTTAGGTCTGAAGCAATCTTCTGACCTATCCTTGTCAAAATCATGGAAGTCAGAATCTGGGACTACTATTGTCATGGATCCAGTTTTCCCCAGTTCTGATTGATGAACAACAATTTCCTGCACTGCCCCTTTAGGTCTCTCACCCGATTCACCAAACTCGGCATCCGCCTTTCTCTTCTTCTCGGTCTCTGCAGCAGCAGCTTCTGAAGCCAACTTGATCTCTTCCAGTTTCTTGCGGATATCTGCTCTTGCCTTGTCAATTAGTAACCGTCTTGCATCAAACGCAGGAGCAGCGGAATGTTTTTTTACTGAAGCTTCAACAGGATTTGGAAGCTTAACATTTTGTTTCAAATTTCCGTCCCCATTTCCATCAGCCATTTTAACTTCTCCAGCAGTTTTTAGAGCCATTTCTCCATTACTAAAGCTGTATGTACCTTCCACACCAATTTTTACCTTCTTAGGAGGTCTACCAGGCCTGCGGGGGATTTGTTCATTGCACACAGCATGCCCGTTAAGAACCCCATTGCTCACCACCTTTTTCACTTCATGCTTCCCTCTGCCTCTTCTTCTGGTGATTTTCCTACTTGCCTGGTTCGCAAAACTGACAGCTGTGGATGATCCATTGGAATCTAAAACTGGAGCAGAATTTCCGCAGGAGCTCCACTGAAAAGACAAATTGGAGACATGCTCGGAACAAGGTCCAGAATGATGTCCTGAGACCCCATTATTTGCAGGATAAACAGATGTCGTTGGGACATATGTAGCCCCGCAACCATGGCTTCCATATCCATTAGACCAAGAGCTATAGGAATAGGAACCATTAACAGGAGCCAATCCTGTTTCAGCAGCTATGAAAACCCCACGACAGTTCTTACAGGACAGTCTTTTGTTCAGATACTTCCTTAGATATTCATACTGAACGTGACAAGAGGTACAAACAGTCCAAAATGTATCAAGCCTGTTGTGAGAAACTGATGAATTGGAGTAACTGTCATAGCTCCCAACACCAGAACCATGCAGAGTAAATAAACTTCTCCTGTGATCATACGAGCTTCTTTTGGAAGCATCAGACAACACCGTCCATGCTTCAGAGACAAGTCTAAATGCACCATCAGCTCCAACACTTTTGTTCTTATCGGGATGGAGTAACACAGCCATCTTCTTATACTGTTTCTTCAGCTTAGCCTTGTCAACAGAGGAATCTAAACCCAGTATTGCATAGAAATCATATTCTCCATTAACCTTCGTCTCTGCAGCACTAAGGACACCAAATGTCGCTACCATTTGTGATATTCCTTCCAAGTGAGGGTACAACATCTGAGCTTTCAGAGCATAATTTTTTGCACCCAAAATGTCTTTCTCCACGAATCTCCTTTCAGCATTTGTTTTAGCTTTCAATGCTTCCTCCATGTTCGTTCCCATCTCTAAATCCAGAATTTCAGCCCTACGAAATCCTTCAAAAGCTAACAGGTTTTTATAAGTAAAACTCGATTCACGTAAAATACATGGTTACAGGCCTGCAATTAAATGAGAAATACTTTAATGTACAATGCATCATTCGAAATCAACTCACTGATCGACCTTCAATAGTACTCAACATTTCAGTAATATCCTAACCTTAAATAATAACTCACAAATCTAAATCCATCAACCATTATATATATCGAAATAAATATCCAGATCTAAATCTATATTCAAAACACCACATACTCCGTACCAGAAAGAACAA